AATATTAATATTCTGAGTCATGTACTGTAGGAATTTTAAAAATTAAAATTGGTCGTTTGCCTCAACAGTAACAGTTACTGGAGTCACTGAAATGAAAGGCCTCGAAGAAAATTTGTGAAAAACCGATTGTTTTACAGCCGACAATTACCTAATCAGTATATAGCCTAGATAAATGTTCGAAAATTAGAAGATTGAATTCATTTAATTTTCGATCGACCATCACATGCACCGGTAAATCGGATTGCATCTGACCATTTTTCATGACATAAAAACGGTGTCATTTGGCAGCTAAAAACCTATCTTTATTAGTGTGTGAAAAGTAAATCTATAAACTTAGACTAGTACGATAACATGCTGAAATTGTTTTACCTTTTTTGATACACCCTGCACTATACATGTTGCAAGGTTTTCGAGATTTCCATCTACAAAAAACCATTCAACATTTAATATATCGATTGAGATGCCTGAATTCCTGATATTTACCCATATACCTTACATTGTCATCACGTAGTATGTACTGTATACATGAACTTGTGGTTGAAACTCGACAAGTGGATTCTGTAGCTCAGTTAGAGTGCTGCACCGGAATCGCAGGGTCGCAGGTTTGATTCCTGCCAGAGGGCCTATATATAGTTGCATTTTTTGCAGCTGCTCCTGGTTTGGTGTATAAACGTATAAAATTTACACTCGAGATTTCCATCTACAAAAACCATTCAACATTTAGTATCGAGTGAGGTGTCCAAAATCCTGTATTATATGTACTTTTTTTCCTTCATCATGATACAGTCGTAATCAATGACTTGTAAGCTTTCTCAATAATTCTTGTATGTACATAATTTATTCAATGTATCGTGAACATGGCCGCCGAAAGGTTCAACGCTGAGCCCGGACCAAAACTTTTCAAGGACACGTTATGATGTACGTCATAATTGTAAAAGGGGAGCAGAGCTGGAAAAAGTGTTCAATGTTCCTCGGATCAGGGGAATTTGCCTTTTTCAAATGTTTCTCAATTATATTGGTTGTAAATTGCAAAACAATTCAAATTCTATTAACAGGATATGAAGAACACTTCGCAATCTCAAAATGGCAGATAAATAAGTATGATTCCTTAAAATTCTCCCTAAAAGTACGCGTGAAAAATTCAAAATTTTCCTCAATCTTGTTGCTAAGGCAAATGTTCCTCAGGGTGCCGAGATCCCAATTTTTTCCAGGTCTGAAAGGGAGAAGCGTACTTGTTTTACAATATGTCACAATTTATTACATTTTTGTCTGACACTAACGCAGCTAGGATATATATTTGTATCTGCGAAGCAGATATATTGCCATCGTGCGCGTACCGGAAGTTTGTAAGCGTGCTCATAGCCAATCAACGACAGCGTATAGATGAAATGACGTAATGATACTAATTTCAAAATGGCAGTTTACTGAACGGTGAAACAAAAGGCAATTTGTGAATTTACGATTAAAATTATACATCAAACGCAGTTTAAAACAACGTCATTTTACTAATCTGAATATGGCAAATGTCGATAGTGCATTTTTGGCAAGCATTTGAAGGGTTTCATCATTTAATACGCAGTGGAAACGAAATGATTCGCAATTTTTGACAAGAAAATTATTGACTAATATGGCAATGGCATTGAGAATACTGTTATGAAACTATGAAAGTAATGATTCTTCCACATGTTGCCGTTGTAGCTGTATAGCGAGTTGTAAGTGTTGATGTTATATGTAAACAACGAGTTTGAGTGTTTCATCAGGGGATCCAAACACGAGAAAACTGTATGAAACACGAGCGCGAAGCGCGAGTGTTTTATTGTTTTCGAGTGTTTGGTCCCCTGATGAAACA